AACTCTGAAGTGGGGAACCAGCAGTTAGCGTAATGGCTATGTCGCTGGACTCCCACATAGTCGACCGCGGTTCGTGTCCCGGCCCCGGTGGCTTAAAACTCACGCCGGGCACGTGTGCGTGCGTGCCCAAGATCCCGAGAGGAGAATGGAGGAGAAGGGATTGCAGCGTGACCATCCCCCCTGGGGGGTGATTTCTCACTTTCTGTCTCTATGTCTCTCTGTCTGTCTGGCGAGCGCACGCGCCCTACAGTGAAAATCTCTCCAAAAGAAAAAAAAAAAAAAACTCTGAAGTGAATCTCGTAACAAAATACTGTTACCCCAAAACAACCATTATACAAACATAGACATACAAAAAACATAATTCCCTTAAAGTTACTTTTGGTTAATGATGCTTTCTGTGGCTATAAATTTTTTTAACTAATTTGCCAGTGGGCACACGTCTGGAGAGAGACTGAGAAAGTGAAAAAGCACCCCCATGAGAGACAGTCACATCACAAACCCTTCTCCTCTTCTCCCTCCTTTCAGGATTTTTAGGCATATACATCCAAGTGCCCTAGACAGCACCCTGCATGCTCCACAAGTTGCTGAGTCTAGGACTCAAACTGTATAGTCAGCCATGTGGGATCCAGCCACCTTAACCACCATGCCACCAGCTGGCCAGCTATGAAATATATTTTTTTTGAGAGGTTTTTGCTATAGGGCGCGTGCGCTCGCCAGACAGACAGAGAGACAGAAAGCGAGAAATCACCCCCTGGGAGGATGGCCACACCGCAATCCCTTCTCCTCCATTCTCCTCTCAGGATCTTAGGCATGCACACACACACACACACGTGCTCGGCGTGAGTTTTAAGCCACCAGCTCCAGGACGCGAACCGCGGTCGACTACGTGGGAGTCCAGCGATATAGCCATTACGCTAACTGCTGGTCCTGCTATGAAAAAATTTAAAATTTATTTTAATTTTAGGGACCAGCAGATGCCATAATGGTTGTGTTGCCTATATTGCTGGACTCCCACGTAGTTGACTGTGGTTCAAGTCCTGGACCCAGCAGCACAAGTGCATACGTGGCCAAAATCATGAGAGAATGGACTGAGGAGTGGCCATCCCTCCTGCGGGGTGATTTCTCGCTTTCTGTCTCTCCAGCAAGCACACACACTCTATAACAAAAATCTCTATCTAAAAGACAATATTAATAATAATATATCATTTTAAAGGAAGATCAGTAAATTACCTGTTTCTCACGTAAAATTAAATCCCAAATCTCTTGTAAAAATGGGCAATACAGGGTCAACCAGGCAGCATGGTAGTAAAAGCTGGATCCCACATTAAACCAGGCACATGTGTGTGTATGCCCACAATCCCGAGAGGAGCACAGAGAATGGAATGCCATGTAGCCATTACCTCAGCGGAAGATCTCTCACTTTCTCTCTCTCTCTCTGGCAAGTGTACATGCCCTATAGCAAAAACAAAACAAAACAAAAAATATGCACTACCCTGTTCATATGGACAACCCTTCTATTAATTTTTTTTCCCTTCAGATTCCTAGAAATGTTTTATATATGTGTGTGTGTGTGTGTGTGTGTGTGTGTATATATACACACACACACACATATACATACATATATATATATATATAAACTACATGTACTAGGGTCTTTTTTATAGCTCATCACAAAAAAATCTTACTTTAGGGACCAGCAGTTAGTGTAATGGCTATGTCGCTGGACTCCCACGTAGTCAACCACGGTTCGAGTCCTGGACCTGGTGGCTTAAACTCATGCTGGGTACATGTGCATGCGTGCCCAAGATCCCGAGAGGAGAATGGAGGACAAGGGATTGTGGCGTGGCTATCCCCCCTGGGGGGGTGATTTCTCACTTTCTGTCTCTCTGTCTGTCTCTGTCTGTTTGGCGAGGGCATGCGCCCTATAGCAAAAACCTCTCCCCCCCAAAAAAATCTTACTTTACACCTTTGGAATAAAACCACGTTTAATCAACAATTATTAATGCTCTCTATCCCAATTATTTTCTCTCAGAACGATTAACAGAAGCCCAGATGGGAAAATGTGAATTTACTTTATATTCAAACATTTAATTACCTCAGCTATCTACAGAGGAAGATTTAGACAGTTAACACTAAAATACTAAGAATTCACAGTGGCTTTGCATCATTCAAATGCTTTGCAATAATAAAGACAAATTCTATCCTTACCCAGAATGAAGTACATACATGAAAACTTCAACCCAGGAGGCTTGATGAAGTAGCTGACTAGTTTCTAAGTTTTATAACAGTAAAGTTTTGTGATTCTCCAAGTATGACATAATAATCCAAGATGTTAAACATTACATAATCAAATGCATATAATTTCTATGCATATATTATTTAGAGAGGATTGAAATTACCTTTTAATTGTCTCAAAAGTTTACAAACAACAAAAATGAAAGTACAAGTCTATCAACTTATGAGAAGTCAAGGGAATCTTGACTTTGAAGGTTAAACAATTCATTTAAGTGGTGTCTTGAAAAAACAATACTGACCGTAGCAATAAAAATACCAGTTAGTTTTAGTGCCAGTGTTGCTGACCTGAGCAACCCACTTAAGTTTTCAGGGGCTCAGATATATCTGGTAAGATCAAAGTAAGGATATTATCTCCGGAGCCTGCCCCATCCTTCAGGAGTCAATGAAAATATAAGGCACAACACTACAATCACACTATCTCAATAATGTAAAGTGACTTTTTCTGAAAAAGGTTTTTTACATAAGGCAAGTGCAATCAACAGAGACAGAGAGAGGGAAAGTGAGAAAAAGCCTTCAGGGGAAATGGATCCCTTCTCCTCCATGCTCCTCTTGGAATTTGGGGCAGTATGCACACATGCCTGGCATGATTTTCAGGCTGCCCGGTCCGGGATTCAAACCATGGTTGACCATGTGGGAGTCCAGTGTCTTAACCACTACACTACCTGCTGGCCCCAAAGTAAGTTTTAATTAAAAATGAAGATCCATTTAACATTAACTACAGCTTTTTTCTAAAAGTGAATTATAATCTTTATTTGCTGGAAGAAAAAGACTTATATGCCCTTCTAATCTATTTCTTTTTTGTTACTCTTTTTTAGTTTACTTTTTTTAGTTTACTACTGGGTGACAGTGCTCACTGTGAGGGACAGAAGGAGAAAGCACCGTTCCAAGGGGGATGGCCACCAGCAAACTCGCCTTCATTCTCCTCTCAGGGTATTGGGCACACCTGCACCTGCACAGGAATGCACCTGGCATGTTGAGTCTAGACTCACCTGCACTGGGGATTCAGCCACTTTTAACCACTGCACCACCAGCTGGCCCATAAGGGCAGCTACTTCTAAATGGATGCATTGGACACTAAAAAAAAAAAAAAAATCCTTCTAATGTATTAATCCAATCTCCAACCTATTTCACACCATAACTTTTCCAGCATATTCCTCAACCTAACAAGCTTCACCATTAGACTATGTCTCAGTAGGCCAGCAGGTGGCATAGTGGTTAAGGTGTTGGATGTCCACATGGACTATGTAACTCCAGTCCCAGTAGGGTGGCTGGAAAATCAGGCAGGGGAGATCAGCAGATAGCATAATGGCTATATCGCTGGATTCCCATGTAGTGGACAGTAGTTCAAGTCCCAGATCTAGTGGCTTAAAACTCACACCAGGTGCATATGCCCAAAATCCCAAAGGAGAATGAAGAGATTGCAGCAGTGGCCACTTTCCCACTCCTCCCCCAAGCCCCCCCACCCCGACTGCCCGTTGGTGTGTGTGTGTTTGTGATTCTCCTTTCTGTCTCTCTGGTTAAGCGCACACCATAGCAAAACTCTTAAAAAAAAAAAAAAAAAAAAAGAAAAAGAAAGAAAGAAAGAAAAAAGAAAATTACGCAGGGTATGGCCAAAATCCCAAGGAGAATGGAGAAGGGATTACAGGACAGTCATCTCCAATGGGAACTGATTTCTCACTTTCCCTCTGTCTGTCTCTCCCTGGGAACAAATCCTAAAAAGAGAGAGAGAGAAAATATTCTTATCAGACCTATTTACAATATTACTACTTTCCCCACTGAAGGAGGAGGCACTTAATTTGGAATCCATTTTTCTCTTCTCACATGAGGATGAAAGATAATTGTGCAGCATCCATTCAACTAACTACGATGATAAACATCTTAAGACTTACATAATACAACTCTTTATAGAAAAGAAAATGAAATGCTCAAGACTTTTCTACAATACAACCCAAAAATAAAGCACGTGAACCCCTCCAGAAACAAAGCTGTACGTGTATACTTGGAGCTACTTTGAGCCTTTTGCCAGGCTGAAGACTTAGTTCAGTGCACTGTATTAAAGCAATGCATTTGCAGGCACTGTCAAGCTTTGTTTACTAATAAAAGTAAAGCAACAGTTGGCCAAATGTCAAAAGCCACACTGCAAAGAACTTGACAGTAAACAGAAACCGGTTAACACAATCTATGGGCATACTATGGTGCCTTGTGTGGTACTAAAGGTTGACTTTTCTTGTATTTCCATTCTTGCATAAAACAAAAATATTTAAGGTAAACAACTAAATTTAGCAATACTAAATTATGACGTATTTAAGGTAAACAACAAAATTTAGTAATGCTAAATTCAGAATGCTGCTTTGCTTGCAGGCAACAAGGGGTAGAGGACAATAAAGAACCTTTGTGTCCCCACCTGGCAGTTTCAGCAACAGTGACAGCACGATCCTCTAAAAACGGTGTACTCCCGGCATATTTATCACGACTTATGTGTCACTGATTAAGACTGTCTCCAGCACTAGACAGTAAACTCCAAGAAGGCAGGGGCTATGGCTAACCACTACAAGCTCAGCGCCTAGCGTATGTGCTGCAGATGTACAGGACCACACGTCACCTAGGAGAAGGGGGCTCCAGGGTAACCCTAAAGTCCATGGAGATCTTCCTCGCCTGCCCCTCAGACTCTACTTGAACGACCCTCAAGTTCTCCCGAAAACTCTCTAACTGAGCAGGAGTTCACAGGGAGACGATCTGCGCTCCGACTGCTCCTCCGCCGTCGGAGGTCGGGTCTGCACTAAGCAGCCGCGGCGCGCGGGGCGGGGCGACGCCAAAGTAACTCCGGAGCGACGCGCGGGGGGCGCCGGCTCCGGCAGAGCCTTCCCTGCGCTGCCGCCGCCGCCCTCGGGCGCACGCGCCCCGCCGCCCAAACGCCGCCCCATCCCTAGAGAAATCGGGCGGCGGTTGCTTGGGCTTTTGTGGCTGTAAGAAAGCGCCAAAGCGCGCGAAGGATTCCGAGAAAAAACCGGTTCGCCCTCTTCCGCCACCCTGTCGGGCACAGCCCGCGGCTCGGGTTCCCACACACGGCAGGCTCGCAGCAGGGGCGG